TCTTCTGACAAAATGGTTTCCAGCAAAATGTAACAAATTTTGTCTTTGAAACCTAGGCAATCTTTTTTTTTTTTTAAGATCTTATTTATTTATTTGACACAGAGAGAGATCACAAGTAGACAGAGAGCCAGAGCCAGGCAGAGAGAGAAGCAGGCTCCCTGCTGAGCACAGAGCATGATGTGGGGCTTGATCCCAGGTTCTTGAGATCATGACCTGAGCTGAAGGCAAAGACTCAACCCACTGAGCTACCCAGGTGCCCCAAAACCTAGACAATCTTTTTATCCTTACACACTTTTAAAATGGCATTACAGGATGCCTGGGTTCTCTCTCTCTCTCTGTCTCTCTGTAAAAAAAAAAAAAAAAAAAATCTTAAAAAAGATAAAAAATAAAAATAAATAAAATGACATTACAGACATTGACATGAAGAACATTTGCCCTATAACAAAATTAATTTCTTTCTAAGATGTAGTGATTTAATAATTAAAACAATATCCATGAAATATAAATACAAGGTATTCATAAATAAATTAGATTGTGGCTGCTAAGAGCCAATTATCACACAAGGTATCTTCGATGGCTGAAATAATAAGAGGGCAGAATATTAATTCTGACACTCTATAGGCCATGATTATAAATTGCTAAAATGTTTTAATAGGCTACGGAATTTTATTGAGATTTCAGATGGCCCTTAAAATATTCATTGTGTGTTAGAAATTAGTTGCCTTGATTGCTTTTAGTTATAATTCCATTATATGTTTACAAGATGGGAACAGGAGGGTGGCTATAGAACTGAGAAAAAAAGTCTACTCTACTTATAAAATAATAATGTGACTAAGATAATAGCACCATGATTAAGAGGCTCAGACCTAGATCTGAATCCCAGTTTCACTACCTTCTGGCCGTGTGACCTTGAGCAATTTACTTCTCAGATGTCCTCCTTGTCAGGGAAGGACTGTGATGAGGAATGAATTAGTACATAAAGCCTAGAGCACAGAGCCTGGCTTCTTCTGTCTTAGGATCTCTGCTGCCACAAAGGGGGAACTTGAAGGGTTTGGGAAGACAGCCTTTCCTACCTCAGTGATTATACCTTAACTTCTGTCTCAAGGGCTGTAACATTTCCTTTAGCACCAACCTGAAAAATTATTGGGATATTCTCAGTGGTGTGTTGCTAAAGGTTTACCAGCCAGCTCTCTGTGGCAGTGTGAGTGGGGAAGCCTGGGGATTTGCTTGCTGATTTGCACGGTGTAACTGATCTCACCATGGCGGGAGCTGGGAAGGGAGGGAGGCAGACACTGGTCTCTGGAGAGCTGACATGACACAGTCCTCACACACCACTGGAAAACTGGGTTCTCCCTCATTCTTTATACACACACACACACACATACACATATACACACATACATATATATTTATATATTTATATTTGTATATATTTTTATATTGTATATTTAAATTAACATATAATTCATTATTTGTTTCAGGGGTATAGGTCTGTGATTCATCAGTCTTTTTTTTTTTTTTAAGATTTTGTTTATTTATTTGACAGAGAGACATCCCAAGTTGGCAGAGAGGCAGGCAGAGAGAGAGGGGGAAACAGGCTCCCCACTGAGCAGGGAGCTTGATGTGGGGCTCCATCCCAGGACCCTGGGATCGTGGCCTGAGCTGAAGGCAGAGGCTTTAACCCACTGAGCCACCCAGGCGCCCCTCATCCATCTTATATAATACCAGTACTCCTTACAACACATACCCTCCCCAATGTCCATCACCCAGTTACCCCATCCTTATTATATTTGATATAATATATTTTGATTGACTTATTATATTTGATTGATGCTTAGCATAATACCCTCTACTTCCATCCACATTGTTGCAAATGGCAAGATATCCTTTTTTGATGGCTGCATAATATTCCGTTGCCTAACTATCCACATCTTTATCCATCTCTCAATGGACATCTGGGCTCTTTCCATAGTTTGGCTATTGTGGACATCACTGCTATAAACATTGAGGGGCAAGTGCCCCTTTGGATCACTACATTTGTATCTTTGGGGTACAATACCGAGGAGTATAATTACTGAGTTGTAAGATAGCTCTATATTCAACTTTTTGAGGAACCTCCATACTGTTTTCAAGAGTGGCTGCACCAGATTGCATTCCCACCTACAGTGTAGGAGGATTCCCCTTTCTCTATATCCTCGCCAGCATCTGTCATTTCCTGACTTGTTAATTTTAGCCATTCTGATGGTATGAGGTGGTATCTCATTGTGGTTTCGATTTGTAGTTTCCTGAGGCCGAGTGATGTTGAGCATTTTTTCATGTTTCTGTTGGCCATTCAGATGTCTTCTTTGCAGAAATGTCTGTTCATGTCTTCTGCCCATTTCTTGATTGGATTCTTTGTTCTTTGGGTGTTGAGTTTGGTAAGTTCTTTTTGTTTGTTTGTTTGTTTTTTGACAGACAGAGATCACAAGTAGGCAGAGAGGCAGGCAGAGAGAGAGAGGAAGGGAAGCAGGCTCTCTGCTGAGCAGAGAGCCCGATGTGGGGCTCGATCCCAGGACCCTGGGATCATGACCTGAGCTGAAGGCAGAGGCTTTAACCCACTGAGCCACCCAGGCACCCCAAGTTTGGTAAGTTCTTTATAGATTTTAGATACTAGCCCTTTATCTGCTATGTCATTTGTAAATTTCTTCTCCCATTCTGTCAGTTGTCCTTTGGTTTTGTTGACTGTTTCCTTTGCTGTGCAAAAAGCTTTTGATCTTGATGAAGTCCCAATAGTTCATTTTTGCCCTTGTTTCCCTTGCCTTTGGAGACATGTCTAACAAAAAGTTGTGTGGTCAAGGTTGAAGAGGTTGCTGCCTGTGTTCTCCTCAAGGATTTTGATGGATTCTTATCTCACAGTTAGGTCTTTCTCCATTTTGAGTATTTTTGTGTGTGGTGTAAGAAAAGGGTCCAGTTTCCTTCTTCTGCGTATGGCTGTCCAATTTTCCCAACATCATCGGTTGAAGAGACTGTCTTTTTATCCATTGGACATTCTTTCCTGCTTTGTTGAAGATTAGTTGACCATAGAGTTGAGAGTCCATTTCTGGGTTCTCTCTTCTGTTCCATTGATCTATGTGTCTGTGTTTGTGCCAGTACCATACTGTCTTGATGATGACAGCTTTGTAATAGAGCTTGAAGTCTGGAATTGTGATGCCACCAGCTTTAGTTTTCTTTTTCAACATTCTTTTGGCTATTGGGGGTTTTTTTCTGGCTCCATACAAGGAGGGATTTAGGATTATTTGTTCCAGGTCTGTGAAAAAGAAAAATTTTGAGAAGGACTGCATTGAATGTGTAGATTGATCTGGGTAGCATAGACATTTTAACAGTATTTGCTCTTCCAATCCATGAACATGGAACATTTTTCCATTTCTTCATGTCTTCCTTGATTTCTTTCATGAATGTTCTATAGTTTTCTGAGTACAGATCCTTTGCCTCTTTGGTGAGGTTTATTTCCAGGTATCTTATGGTTTGGGGTCCAATTGTAAATGGGATCGACTCCTTAATTTCTCTTTCTTCTGTCTCGTTGTTGGTATATAGAAATGCAACTGATTTCTGTGCACTGATTTTATATTCTGCCACTTTACTGAATTCCTATATGAGTTCTAGCAGTTTTGGGGTTTCTGCATAGAGTGTCATGTTATCTGTCAAGCCTTTTATATCTTTTCATTGTCTGACTGCTGAGGCTGGGGCTTCTGGTACTATGTTGAAAAGCAGTGGTGAGAATGATTTTCCCTCATTCTGACAAAGGTAGTTGGAAGAAAGGCAGGCACAGGCAAAGGCCTCCTACCCTAAGAAGAAACCACCCTTAAAAGGATTTTACACCACCCTGGAAGGAGCCCTCCACCCTTTCCCACCTGATAGGTGGATGACAAAAACCTGATGGAGTGACAGGCACAGTGAAGGTTAATCAGATTATAACAGCCAGTCAATAAGCTCATAAAAACCCCTAGATCTAAACGCTAAATTAGCAAACCTCTCAGATCCCCTCCTTCTTTGGGAGCTTTGTACTATTGCTCCTGAAAGTTTGCTTGGCCGCCGCCACTCCTCCTCTGGTCTACCTCTTCCTTCATTGAAGCGGTGCCACTGAGAGCCATGGGCACTGAAGGAAGAAGGAAATCCTGTAACAGTTTTGGCCCAGCTGCCCTCCAGCTGCCCGACCCCAGGCAAACCCTATCCCCCCTCCCCAACTCCCCACTCCGGCCTCAGCTTCTTCCTCTGAAATGATGCAGATAGTAATACTTACCTGGCAGGCCTCATAGGGTTGATGTGACAAATAAATAGAGGACATGAAAAACTATTGAAAAGGAAACAGTGGAAATTCAGTCGGCAGTAGTGTGGAGGCCCCGGGCAGTTACAGAGGTGGCTTTGTCTGATTTAAAGGTCCCGAGGATGCTGGCCATTCCTCTGTCTTCAATCTGCTCTTCAGTTGGGCCCTGGAGCTCTGCGTTTATTTACCCTAATCTTTTTTTTTCTCTCTGACCATTTAGCTCACAATGATTATCTGCACAATTAACATAATAAAGCAAGTCAGATGAGGCTCTTTCAGGGTCCCGGGGAAACAAAGACTGGGGGTTATTACTTGAGGCCCAGTGCTGCAAGCAGGACTGAGCTCCGAAAACCATCAATGTTATGCCCCACCCACCCCTGGAGTAAGGAACAAGGGCTCCTTGTACTTCGGGGACCAATGCTATCCTGGTGACCTGGGGTTCTTATCCACACCCCCACAAGTGGGTGCCCCTAGAGTTCCCCCATGATAGCCTTGAGTAAGGGACAGACGGGGCTTGGTAAGGAGAGACAGGGGGCCACGGGATCAGGCTCACAAAATTCCAAAAATGCAGAGGTGGAAGGAAGCCAGAGATAAGGAAACAAATAAGACCATCCTGTCTCAGGTGTCCGAGGTGGGGTCTTGCTGTGACAGCTACTTGAGACCAACAAAAAATTACCTGACCCTTGGCTATTGTGGACAGGCTGTCTTCACACTCACAGAGAGTCCCACCGAAATGCCAATGACAATCACCCTCTTCTTCCCAGCGGCCACCTACAAGAGGGTGGGTGAGACAGTGCCACCAGGAGGATTCTAGGATATAAACCTATTGCATGGAGATGTCAGGGTCAGGACTGGGGAAGAGAACGGGCTTTGGCTGGATGGGGACTTTTGTGTCCTCGTGAGAAGAACAGACAGAGATGTCTGGTTGACTATCAGGGGAAAACACAGACCTTCTTCAGTTCTTCAATCCCATGCAGGGCACTATCTTCTGTCCCCTTCCTAGATGCCACCACAGACCTAAGAGGACAGACTCAAAGTCAGTGGCACTGGTTTGAAAGCAGAAGATTATGGTATGCTAGGGAAGAAAAGGGAATGCTTTAAGAAAAGGGAATGATGGGAAAGATATCATTGACTGAACACCTACTATTTGCTAAACACCATGATAGACGCTTTCTAGGGCTAAAAAACTCCAATTCCTACAAGTGCCAGTCAGATGACATGAGTATGTGAAGTGGGCCAAGGATAAGGCAATGAGAAATGATGGGGACCAAAGCAAACTGGGCACAATCTCCACCTGAAAGCCTTAAAATTCTATTTCTAGAAAACACTATCCAGGCCAAAGAAAATATTCACGGGCCAACTTGGCTTACCTATCACCGCCTGCAATGAGGTAGGTGTAAAGAGGTTTCTGTCCTAGACCTTTCATCAGCTGGTTGAAGGAGACCTGTCC